CTTTAACTTTGATCATTTCTCTATAAAGGCTACCGTAGTTAGCTGTTGTTAGCTACCGATGATAGAAAAGACATTGGGAATAGTCCATTAGTCATTCTGACTTTCAGCACCCTGAGCCCGAAACGACTTACCGATCGAAGAATAAGGAGGAGAGGAATAGTGTCGGGAAATGAAAGAGGGAAAAGAGGGAGGGCCCACGAAAAATGGGGGGTGGGCAGGTAGAGATGGCAAGTGGCGTAAGCTAACGAGGGGCGGGGGCGGGGCAGTCTACAGCCGTCGGAAGCACCTGAGCAAAGAGGGAGGACGTCTGGCCGGCACCACAAGGCATCCGGCCAGTGATCCGGGAAACAGAAGCCTGACAAGGATCCCAGCGAGGGTGTGTTTATGTATTGCTTGTATTTGACACCGGTTAAGACGTTCTACACAACTAAAGCTGCTCAGCTGGTTCTTCTTCAGTGACTTTCTGTTTGGCCCTTTTACACAGCAGGATATTCGCGCTGTGGTGAATCGGAGGTCCACGCAGGACCGAAGCCTTCGGCTTACAGAAACGTACTTTTAAGCATCAAACCGCCTGCTGTTTCACCAACAGAAGTTTTAAGATATTCAGTCACATCAGCTCCATGTGCCGAGCAAAGGACCCTTTAACTCCTTTGGAGCTGACATGAGCTTCTCCTGCTGCATTTTGTCGCTGTGTTGACTCACCTTGTCCCGGTAAAAGATCACTCGTCAAGTCGAAAGAGGAAGGAGATATTAAAATGAAGTTTATTGCATTTCAGCTCAATTCTAAATTAACTTTAGAATTTAAAGCAACAATTTCAAAATTTTATCTTTCAGTTACAATGAATTATAATTATGCAGTGAAAAATGATGCTTAGAATTACAATCAAAAAGCATATACTATGACAATAATACACATATTTGTCTATATTTCAGCTACACTTGAATATAATTTTACAAACAAAATTAAATTAAATAAACCAAAGAATGAGCTAGTTAATAAAATCCCCAGTTTGGTTATAGAGTAAGAAAATTCATTTACAGACTAAATAAACAAGTGGGTTTATACTGAAACCAGTTTTAATTTGCTGGAACAGACTTGCCATTGGCATAAATAATCATTAATCATTCATGAAGGAACTATACTAGTTAACAGTTAACTAATTAGTTGATAATTAAGTAATATGCTGTAGTTTCTGCATGGAATACATGAAGCATCATGATTATGCCCGTACCAATCACTGAGGACACCAAGGTTAAGTCCTCAGTATTTTTTCTGCAGCTCCAATAATCACCATCCATTACAGAGCACACCTAGGAAGAGCTAACACTTCTGATCTCGTTATTTTAAAAATCCTAGTTATGGCCCTGGTCCTGATTGATTGATGATGAACAAGAATGGTCAGTACATAACTAACACTTAGTTAATGGTTAATTAATACATTAAGTAAGCATGTACTACTACATTATTTGTGTCCCTTCAAATGTTGTTCAGTGTTCATAGAATCAAATTTTATTAATCATCAAAAATAATTATAATAAGAATATTTTATAGAAAATGCAAAAGTATTACTGAAAATTCTTATGAACCTGTGTTATTTTTTCAGAATTCTCTTTATTTAACCATTGAAAACAAATATGTAGTGGTCATATTGACTGACCTTTAGTTAATTTTTAATTAAGCACTCATCACTTCCTAAGAGTCATTCAGTTCAATTCAGTTTTATTTGTATAGCGTAACTTTACATCATCCCCACCCAAAACCCCCAGTGTGCAAGCCAGAATCCACAGTGGCAAGGAAAAACTCCCTAGAGGGAAGAAATCTTGGGAGGAACCAGAGTCAAATGAACAAGACAGCAAAACTCTAATTTATTAAAGTTATTTTGGTTTTATGCAAAGAAACTGAATTAGAAACCCTGCAGTTCATTCAATCAATAATGTAAATACACATCAAGTCATTCATGTACTGTTAGTCAACTTATAACTTACAACTAATAACTTGTAATTAATAACTTATAACTAATAACTTATTACCGAGTACCCAGATCCCTGCAACCACCATATATCCACAAGAAGCCCAGCAAGCAGCAGTGGTGCAGGAATAAAGGGGCGCTAAATGTCACGTTCAGCTCCGAACACTCCTCGTGTGTGCCACACCCCCTCATTACCTCCTGTCGAAACCTGATTGTTCTCATCTGTTGCCTGTTACGTTTGCCTAGTCTCATGTATTTAGTCCTAGTCTCAGTCAGTGTACCCCAGATTTGTCATTGTGATGTAGTGTCATGTTTGATGTCTTGCCCACGTGTTCCTGCCTGCCTGTTGTGGAATAAACCCTGTCTGTCCTGAGTCACGGCTCTGCGTGCCTACTTGACCGCCAGCTCGCTTACTGAACGTGACAGATCTGTCATGCTCCGGGGTAAGCGAGCCGGAAAGCAAGCAAGCAGAGCCGCAAATACGGACAGACGGGGTTTATTTAAGGGAAGACTGGCGGACAAGGAACAAAACATGACAATACATCAATGACGAATCTGGCAAGACTGACTGAGACTAGGACTAAATACATAAGACAAGGCAAACGGAATAGGGAACAGGTGACTACAATCAGGATTCGACATGAGGTAATGAGGGGGCGTGGCACACACGAGGAGCGTTTGGAGCTGAACGTGGCACTAAGGGTGCTGCAGCGCCCCCTCGTGTCTGTTCCGTCAGAGAAAAACATAGTGTTATGTTATTTA